AAGCCCAACGTGTGTGGCACCGCTCATTACGCAAAATCGGGTTTTGGATGAGATTTTAGTGATCCTTAGTGGGGTACTCCTACAAGGTGAAGCTAAGTTGTCTCTAGTACAAGTAAAATTTTCACCCGTTGAACGGTTTGCCTACTTGAGGATGTGTTTTTAAGGGCACGGATAGAGCTTCCGGCCCCCCTTAATTTCATTGACCCTCCACACGAGTTGAGAAAAAGGAGTTAAAAGAAGTACTCTGGCGAGCGCCAGATGTACAAAAATTGCTCTTGCTCGACTAATAAGGGTCGTCCGTGCAAAAGACTGCAATTGGAACCCCCGTGAATGAAGAAAAAAAAGAGAAAACAAATGCAAATGAAAGTGCAAAAAGGGGTTCCAACGGTGAAATGAAGTGAAAGAGCACCCCGGTACAACAAGTCCTTGGTTGTGAATGGTGTGAGTCCCTTTTTCCATGAACTGGCTGTCTTACTTCCACTTCTTCTCATGATCCTGGCTTGAGTCTAGTACTCGCATTGAGAGAGATAGGGGACGTCTTAGAAGACCAGTTGACCTCGTAAGCTGCTATATGATCTAGGAAATCCTCTACCGCCGATCGGGGTTGTTTGTTGCTATAGAGTTCTGGAGAGCTGCATTGGTTTGAGTTAGGTTTGCTTGGGGACAAGCAAACGGTTAAGTGTGGGGGAATTTGATAACATCGGATTTGCACATGTTTGCACCCTCGTTTCTTGATCATTTTGGCTTGAGTTTCTGCTTTCTTGGACTATTTTACGCTAGGTTGTGTTCCTTTGTCACATTTCAGGTCCTAGCATGTAAGTTGAAGCATAGGCGCAAGTTTCAAGTCAATCAGAGATCATTTGGCAATTCGGGAGAAGAAACAAGAGCATGACCTGAGGAATAATGGACTTCTACCTCATATTATGGACCAATAATCATGAAATTTTGTCATTAAAATAAAGAGGACGAGACTACGAGCGTCTGGGATCAAACGGCGATTGATTCGGAGTCCGGACGAGGGAGAAACGAAGCATTAAACAGAGGCAGAGCAAGCCACATGGGCAAGCCTAAAAACCCACACGGCCGTGTGACCTGGCCATGTTGCCGTGTGGAAATCACCGAGACTTGACACGGGCAGCTGGGAAAGCCACACGGCCGTGTGGCCTGGCCGTGTGATCGGGAATTTTTGGTTAAAACCCGATTTTCAGCAAAAGGAAAGGGGAGAGCTAGGTTTTTTGGTTCCCAAACACCCAAGGGACGAACCCTAGAGAGAGAGAGAGCGACTTGGGAACATTCTTGGAGCTATTTTGGACGATTTCTTCGCCATTGGAGCTTAGGAATCAAGCTTGGAGATGGAGATTGAAGATCTAGATCAGATTTCTGCAGTCTCTCTCTTCTCTATGGAGTAACTTCCCTTCACCTAGGTTTTGAGGAACCCTAGTTCCATGTGTTAGGATCTTTCTTGTATGAAGTTTTGGATGCTATATTGTGTGATTATAATCGATTGATGCATGATTTGTTGAGTCTGGTCGTCTGCGACCGACCTGGCGACTGCGACGGCTCGCCTCCTCCCCCTAGAGTCCATTGGAACCCTCGCCATCATTATTAATCCATATGGAGGAGACCGGTGAGAGGAAATCGAAACAGAGGAGGTACGCGATGAAGAGGATGAGGGGGTTTGTTTAAGCCCTGAAAAGCCTTTGTCTCCTTCTTTGTCTTCTCAAGACAGAGAAGCAATTCTTCCTCTTTGGTCAGTCAATACTCACGGAGCAGCAAATCTCAACTCACTCTCCAGTGCAGGAGGGAGGTATTCATCACGGAACCAAAGATATTTATCGGATGATGGGGCCTAAAATTGCAAGGTCTTCATAGAGGTAGAGAATGATAATGTGGCAAGGTAATCTCAGGGAGTGTTTGCTGATTGACGATGTAGTTTTTTATCAGTTCCCGGAAGCAATTGTGTCGCTGTTCTCTAGGATGGTTGGGTTTGCAATCCTCTATGCGCTCTTGAAGATTGGTTTAATTGGATCCAAGCCTCCCCTTTGATCGCCTGCGCCGAAGGAAAGATGAAACGATGGGATGAAGATGACGATTGAGGACGACGACGGAAGGAAGAGATCTAGAAACACTATTTTTTTTCTTTTATTTTAATTGTATTGTGTTGTTGTTTTAATGACGTGGCAAGTACTGATGACATGGCGGGTTGATTTACGATGATTAGGCTATTCTGTTAGCCACGTCATAAAAAAAAGTGACGCCGTTAACGAAGACTAAACTTGAACGTTTTAATTAATTTTAGTGACTATGAAGGGAATTAAATATTTTTAGTGACCAATTCAACGAAAAAAAAATATTTTTAGTGACCATACATGAACATTTTTAGTAATCTCGGTGCAACCTTGCAATTAACCCCTATTAATCTCTATTGACCAACCTTGACCATAATAAAATTTATTAAAACCCTCTTACTGAATAATAAATATGAAACTCATTTTTTCATATACCAACAATAAATCACTTAACCAATATAATAAAGATAGAGAATTGAGAACGAGTTTCTTTGTCACTGAATGGACAATCCTATCATCTATCATTGGTACGACCAACAAACCATACACTAAACCGAGGAAAATAGTTATGAAGCAAGCATCTAAGTTTCATAAAAATAGCCCCACCATGAGCATCCACTCGAATACCATTCAGACACCATGTTCCGCCCCGCTTAGCCATCCATCACCCACAAACACCAATGCATTATTACTTTTTAGCACCAATTTAATCTAAATGTAACTCGTTTTTGGTTGGCAAGAGACGAAGGAGAATCAATGGAAATGTCTGCAAGCTCATCATCGTCACCACCATCATCATCTTTTTTGCTTACGATCTTGACATCTTTTAATTCGTGGCGCCAACACTTGCAAGCCTTTTGACGACAGCGGTCAAAGGTTATTTCAGTAAAAAACTTGTATAGGTACTGCAAACAAGTAGAAAGGTCCATCGTCAATACATGAATAACTAGTAATTGTTGACTTCGTAACAAAAACTTAACACGAGAAAAAAAACTACACACCTCGAGAGACGGACAATGCATCGATTTGTTGTTAGGATCTTCATCTATACATAAATACTTAGGATGACAACTCCACAGTAAACCTTCCATTAAAGCAGCATCTACCTCATCATAATTCGAAAATCCACGGCGAAATGCGATATCATAGATTGGTACAGCAGGCAAGTCATCTTCAAATTGATCCCAATCAAAGGAACCCTACATATATTGCAAATGAAAAGCGTATCAACCAAATCTAACAATAATCATAGAATGGTTAGTGGAACGACGAACAAAAAGTGGTAGAACTTCACACCATTTACCTCAGTTGAATATATGAGAAAGAACCAGAGTCGAATGCAGGGGAAGTGGGGGCTTAGCTTGGCAAAGAAGAACTTCAAATCCCTGAACTTTTCGATTGTAATACTAACTATGGATCCCATTGCTAAAAGAACTTCACATAGCCGAGCTGCAAGAGGGCTCTGAGCATAACTAATTGCAGGCAAGGAAGCCATACTCCCGCCATAGTCGAAATCAACCAATTTGGGAGCATCGAACCGAATCACCCTTCCTGGAGCATCCAAACCCTTGGCTCGATCCCGTAGCCACAGCCACTGAAGGTTAGGATTCACAACATTGAGTAAATTGCCTCCTGCGTTCCCAAAGAAGTCCAATTTCAGTGACTGTAGAGACGGGGATCCGGCGATCAAGTCATTGAGAACGTCCTCTGTCAAGCCGGAAGCATCCAGACCGGCTTCGATTTCGAGCGATTCGAGATTTGGCAGTGGGAGAGAGATATCGAGGGCGCCAGAGACGGAGTTCTCCAATGTCAAGGTTTGCAGAGAAGGAGCCCCTGAAATCTGAATCGAATCCTTAACAGGAACCCCAGAAAGTTTTAGGGTTTTGAGGTTGGGATGGTTGCAGATCTGAAGAACCCTAATTTTTTCTTCACCTCCTACGCAAGGGCCGGACAGGGTCAGCGTCTCCAACAGAGGGGCACTGGCGATGACGGCATTCAGAAGCCGGCCGTCGTCGTAGAAGCTGAAGTCGGCGAGGCAGAGCACCCGGAGATTGATCATCGTCGTGGTGTCGGCGGGTTGCCAGAAGAGCTGGAAGCAGCGGAGGTTGAGAATTTTGAGGCGGCGGTGGTTGATTAATCGGGCCGGGATCGGTGGGTACCCGACGCTTTGGATGTCGACCTCTTCTGGTTCCCTGTTCGCCACCAATTTCAACATGGCGACGACGAAGCGGTAGATGGACGCATCCTCGGCCATCTTCCACACCAAGTGGATCCTCACGGCTTCCACTTTCAGGTCCGACTGGGAATTGAATTTTGCGGAGGCGGCGGCGGCGAATTCGTCAAGCAGCGATTTTGAGGAGTCGCTTGCAGTGCGATTGTCGAATTGCAAAACTGGGTAGGAGCGCCAGAGGAGGCCCCATCGTTTGGAAAGGACGGCGGCTTTGGCGGCTTCTTTCAGTGATGGTAGGAGTCGCAAAATTTGGTGAATGATCTCGTCGGGTAACGCCGATATGCGGTCAGAGCCGCCGCCGCCGATGCTTAGTGTTGTTTGGTTCATCGTAGGCTTTTTTGCATCAGCGAACGGCGATCATCTCCGTCTAGGTCAACTTATAAAACTCAAGTCTTCCTCTACCACTGGGCCCAGTTTGGTTATTGAGCTACTACTAAAAGTTCCAAATTCGTCTAGGTCACCAAATTTCCGAGTTGGCAATCCTTCTAATTTGAATTTTCTGAATTCCCAATATCATCTCCAGCTTTTCTTTCACTCCCATTTACCACCCAAAGAAGGGATCTGAAGACTGAATCCCTTCTCTTCTCGTGCTTCTCGATCGTCGTCAATGGCAGAATAAACCCAACTTACCGATCCATTCCCCTCCGCAACCCAACTCAGCCAAATCAAAAAAACTTCCAAATCGAAATCCAAATCATTCAATGGAGAAACGCGTGGAGAATCTGTTGAACAAAGTCTCGTACGCCAGCATAACCATCGCGACGATCGCTCTCCTCATCACCTACCTTCAAATCCCAGAAACCTGCATCCCTCCCGACACCCCAATCACAAAGCCCCACCAGAAATTCCCTTCCTCCACCTGCGATTCCTCCCTCCGCCGCCCTTACCTCTCCCCGGCCAAGAAGAACATCCGATTGTGGTCGTCCAAGCCCTGGATCTCCCAGCTCAATTCCTTCACCAGATTCTTCTCCGACCTCCAATCCACCGGCCTCTTACCCAACCACTCCCGCGTCCTCTGTCTCTCCGCCGGCGCAGGCCACGAGGTCATGGCCCTCCACAACATGGGGGTCGGCGACGTGACCGGGATCGAGATCGTGGAATCTCTGCCTTTGGTCAGAAAAGCCGATCCCACTAACTTGCCCTTCTTCGACGCTGTTTTCGACTTCGCGTTCACTGCTCGTTTGTCAGAGGCTTTGTTCCCGGCGAGGTTTGTTGGGGAGATGGAGAGGACGGTGGCCGGCGGTGGCTACTGCGTCTTGGCGGTGGAGGAGTGTGGCAAAGAGCTTGTGGATCAAATTGTTGGGTTATTTCACAGGTCTAAGTTGGTTGGCGTTGGAAATGTAACCTTGATTGGAATGAGAATGACCAGAATTATCATGAAAGTGGGTGATGCATCTTCTTCTTCTTCATGACTCTTCTCTCAGGTAACTGATCAACTCGTTATTGAATTGCTTCTTATGCGTGCTCACTGTTGAATAAATGTACTGGACTTCAATTTGTATGCATTGCAGCTTGCAAGTATATAGTCAAATTTCTTCGTCAATCTAGAAATGGCCCTGTTTCATGTTTGCTTGTGGTTAGAAATTTATCATCTTCAACTGGAGTCTGGAATTCAATGATGGTAACGCCAAACTCATACGCTTTCCTGTAGTTGTAGGCCAATGATGAGTTAATGCTCTGTGCAAGTTTGGGAATTTGGAGCAGCTTTGATATTGAACTATGCATGTTTGTTTTGGAATTCTTGCTGAATGGTTGTGTTCTACAAGGGTATTGAGCAATTAAGATTTCGTTGTTGAAAGCTGGGAGATTACGATACTGTTGAAATAGTTTTTCTGCCTGATCAACCCTCCTTCGTTGATTAATCTGCAGGTGGTAGGGTAGAAGCAAACTCCTTAAAGTGTAGACAACAAGTAGCTTCCTGAATGCTTATTTATGAGAGATGCTGATTGTGCTATGCCTGTAAATGGTTCGGATGACTGAAGAAACTCGCGGTTTGTCCACATTATGGCTGTGGAACCATATTGCATCTCATCCCAATCGGTCTTTTGCAAGGTTGGGACTTGAGATAGCTTACCAGCACGAGGCTGTTACTTGGCGTAGGCAGATTCTGTAAAGCATTATCTTTGTTCTTCTTCCAACTTCTCTTAGACGATGAACACACAAGTCCAAAAACTCGTTGCAAGGAAGAATCGAGGGGCGATGGAGAAGAGAGGAGTTGGATTTCCTCTGTGGAAGGTTCACATCCATTCAGACTGGAAGACACGTTTGATCGGACTGCTGAATGGAGCACCTCAATGAGACTTGGAATATGATCATCCCTCCAAGGTTGGGAATTTAGGAATGGTCTTTTGAACTGGAACCAAGCCTGTGGAGTTGGTAGTTTTGTTCAATAGTATATTCTATCTACAGGAAGCAGCTCTGGTATATCAACTAAGTTTCACTTTGTATTGAAGAATGAGATCTACAATTAGCAGCATTAGCACAAACCACAAATGTAGCAAAATCACACCTTTCGAGTTTTTGCCTCTGTTCTCCACTAATTACACCCTACAGAAAGGCAAATTCGATCACAATGCTGCAGCAGGAAAGCAAACAAGTTTCCCCTCAATCACCAAAACAGAGAGCTCTGAGTTCTTACAGTTACAGTAGTTCTTCCCGTAAATTACCAACTAGCTAGACTTCTTAGACGCGTCAGCAATATCCAGAACTCGAGATATCCCATGAACCACGTACTTTCCAGACGAGAATATCTCCGGCGCCACAATGTCAACTCCGTTGACTCTCAGTCTCGCCGCCGTGACATTCAATTCAGTGAATTTACCAGCCTTTTTTAACTCGAGATCCTGACCCGGAAGCAGAGTCTTCAACGGCGATTTATCTGGCAATACGACGAGCTCCTTGTACGAAATCCTCTGAGGCAGGATGTGAATTCTGACTATCCTGCCGAGCATCGGAGAAGAAGATGCGACGGACCCGAAATCCGGTGGACTGAAAACGGTGACGGAATTCAGGTGCCGGTAATCGTCAAGAATAGAGTTCAATCCAATTGCGAAGGAGACGAACCCCTTAGAGCTCAGCGATCGGATGATTTTGGGCCAGTAGCCCAAATCCCTAAAACCGACGGAATCCATCGCGGTGTGCTCGCCGGAATACAGTGACGAGAATGGCTCGAGGACGCCGTGAATCACGAGGGGCCCATCGATGACGACGTCAGGGTGGGAAATCTTGACGTGATTGATCTCGGCCGTTCGGCTTTTCCCGTCGATCTTGGTGAGGACGAGGTTCTTGCCGGGAACGAGAGTCGGGAAGCGGGTTCCTCTCCGGATTTTGAGTAGCTCTGACATGGGGAGGCGGAGGGGAGAGGTGTGGTAGTGGAGAAGTTGCTTCATTAGCAGCCGGGGAGTGGCGGCGGCCGATGAGGAAAAGGCGGAGTCTTTGATCGCGAAGACGGTGGATTGTGGGGAGGAGGAGGAGAAGGAGTGAGGGGAGGATTGGAGGAGGGAGGCGGCGAGGGAGAATCCGGCGCGGCGGAGAGAGATGGAAGCGTTGGAGGAGAGGCGGGGGAGGGTTGTCGCCGGCGGAGGAGAAGGGGAAGGAGGCTGGGGGCTAGAAGAAGTGGTGGTGGTGGTGGTGGAGTGGAGAGCGATGGAGAAGGCCATGAAGGCCAAGAATGTGGAGAGAGTGAAGTAGATTGTTGCTTTCCATCGCTGGAAGAAGGATTCCATTGTTGATTGGGCGGTGGCGATGGATTTTCTTGGAGGTTTTTTTTCTTCTAGTTCGTCGGAAGAGAGACTGAAGGAAGTAGAAGGGTGTTGTTCTTTTTGTCCTTTGGCTCGCTGTCTTCGCTTGGGAATTTGGGTGGGAAAGAAAAAAAAAGGAAAAGAGGGATATGATGTGATGAACCTTGGAAAATCTGTGGATCCGCTGGATGATTGGGCTTGTTTGGGCTGGGCCAGTTCTCTAGTCGTGTTTGATGGATTATCGAGACCCGTTTTGGTTGTTAGTCTTTTTTTTTTTTTTTTTTTAAGGAAATCTGCATTCATTAATTAATTAATCAAAGTCTCATCCTCTCTAAGGAGAGGTACAATAAAATGAGGTGGGTTATCCACCCAAACCTCCTCACTATCCCAATTGCATTCAATATGGGCCAGAACATGGGCCAGTTTGTTACCACTGCGGCCCATGAAGCTCCAAGATACTCCTCCCATCCGCTGGGCCTTGGCCCGAATCTCGGCACACATCAGCCCCACTTCTGTATCTCTCTCTTCCTCCCTTTGCATCTGACGAATCACCCCCAAGCAATCCGACTCCATTTCCATTTCCTCTATCCCCATTCTTCTTGCAAGCTCCAAACCGAAATCGATCGCCATGGCTTCTGCCTCTTCTGGGTTCCACTGAACCCTTGATCTTCTTACCCCAGCAAATTTAAACTCGCCATTAGCTCCCCGACAAACCACACCCCACCCTGTTCCTCGCCCATCCAAACATGCTGCATCTATATTCAGCTTCGTCGGCTTCAGTCGCGGTGGTTTCCATCGATGCTCCGTCGTTCCTTCCGCCGGGGAAATCCGGTCCTGCTTATCCAGGTAATCCTCAATCCAATTCATTGCTTTGGGTAAAATCTCCCATTCTTCTAACTTCTTTTTGTTCCATAGGTGGCAGTTCCTCTGATCCCAGATATACCAGAGGGCGACCAAAAACCTTCCCAAATTATCGTCCGATTCCGATTCTTGCAGCTCACAATACCATTCCTCCGAGGTAAGTTCTTCCCCCCTTTCTATGTATGTGTTCATCGGACTGTATCTCCACACCCTCCTTGCCCATGCACAATCCCTAAAAATGTGCTCTTGTGATTCTCTGAGATTACAGAATGGGCAACATTCACTACCCTTCTGTAATCGATCTGAAATTTTTGCTCCTGTCGGAATTATATTCCTCAACCACCTCCAAGCGAAAACCTTGACCTTGGGCGGAATTTTCAGGCTCCAAAGCCGTTTCCAGTTCACTGGTGTGTAAATTTCTCCCATCTCGTCCCTGTCCCGATCTTCCCAAAGCCTGTAGGCCGATTTAACTGAGTAATCCCCTGATTTCTCCTCTGCCCATATTCTCTTGTCCTCCATAGGTTGCCGTGGAATGGGAATCTTTAGGATGTTCTGTCTATCAGTAGGGTTAAAATGCGCCTGTAGCAGCTCCGGCCTCCAAGCTCTTGTTTCAGGTTCCATCAATTCAGATACAGAGGTAATGTTTCCCCAGTGTGTTGTTGGGGACGTTACCTTGTAGTTTGCACTTGATGGTATCCATTTATCCAGCCAAATATCGATCTTATGGCCATTTCCAACTCTCCACCTTGCTCCTTTCTTTACCAAGTCTTTAGCCGCCATTAACCCCCGCCAAATCCAGCTTGGATTCCTTCCCAGTTCTGCCTCAAGAGGATCTCGATCCTCATAATACTTTGCCTTCATTACTTGTGCCACCAGGGTGTCAGGATTTTGTGTGAGTCTCCAAAGTTGCTTTCCCAGTAAAGCCAAGTTGAAATTCTGAAGGTTTTTGAAACCCATGCCCCCCCATTTCTTTGGCTTACACAATTCCTTCCAACTCAGCCAGTGAGTTCTACCTTCTTCTTGTTGTTGTCCCCACCAGAATTGAGCCATGGCTCTTCTGGTTTCCTTGAGAGTACTCGCAGGGATTTGAAAGACTGACATTGCATATGTCAGTTGTGCTTGTGCCACGGATTTGATTAAAACTTCCTTTCCTCCCACAGATAACAACTTCTCCTTCCAACTCTTCACTTTTGATCTCACTCTGTCCACCAAGTACCCAAATGTCTTCTTCTTAGAACGGCCTATGATTGTAGGTAGTCCCAAGTATTTCTGATGGTGGTCAACCACCCTCATATTCATGAGTGCCCCTAATTCCCTTCTTCTCCTCTGTCGCACATTAGAGCTAAAAGAGATTTCAGATTTTTGTAGATTTACCTGCTGACCAGTTTCAGCTTCATATGTGCTTAGGATTGTTCTTACTTTGTCACAGTCTCTACCAGTAGCCCTTACAAACAGTATAATGTCATCAGCAAACAATAGATGGGAAATCTGTGGTGCATTCCTTCTGACTTTCAATCCTTCAATTTGTCTCTCTCGTTCTGCTTTAGTGATTAAAGCTGATAAGCCCTCTACCACAAACAGAAACAGGTAAGGGGAAATGGGGTCCCCTTGTCTCAACCCCCTGCTAGGAAAGAAGGTTTCTGTTTGATGGCCATTAACCAGTGTCAAGAAAGACACAGTAGTGACACAATTCATCATCATTTGCACCCACCTCACATCAAAACCTAACTTCAACATCACCTTTTCCAAAAAATCCCACTCTACCCTGTCATAGGCTTTAGTTATATCCAGCTTAGCTGCCATAAATCCCTTGTTCCCATTTCCTCTAGCCTTCATTGAGTGAAAACACTCAAAAGCAATTATCACATTATCTGTAATAAGCCTCCCCGGTACGAAAGCACTCTGATTAGGGACAATGATCCTATTTAAGATCCCTTTCAGCCTGTTTGCAAGTACCTTGGAAAAGATCTTATAAAGCACTTTACATAAACTGATAGGTCGAAAATCCACAGGAGAAGTAGGGGCTTTCTTCTTTGGTATCAATGCCAAAAGAGTGTGATTTAGGTGCTGAGGAAAAGTTCCCTCCTCAAAGTATCTCTGTAGCTCTGCAGTAATATCATCTCCCAGTACCTCCCAGTTCTTTTGAAAGAAGAGGGCAGGCATTCCATCCGCTCCTGGAGCTTTCAGGGGTCCCATAGACTTTAGGGCATACCAAATCTCTTCTCTTGTTAAAGGTAACAGAAGCTCCTCATTCATTTCAGTAGTCACTTTCTGAGGAACAGCTTCAATTACCTGTCCAGAACTTGTCTTTTCCCCAGCAGAATATAGCTTCTTGTAAAATTGCACTATGCACTGTGCTATATCCTCCTGACCAACCCTGATTCTTCCATCCTCATCCTTAATCTTCCTAATCATGTTTTTTGTTCTTCTATCCGAAGCCCTTCGATGGAAGAACTTCGTGTTTTTGTCTCCAAACTTCAACCACTCGTTTCTAGACCTCTGCTTCCAGATTAGTTCTTCCTGCAAGAGTATATCCTCTAGCTCGTTCTCAAGAGTTCTTCGCTGGACCAGAATTGCCTCTGTCTTAGGCATTCTGTCGAGTTTTGCTAATGCCTGCTCAGTTTTGATCCTTCGTGACTTCAAGCTCCCAAAGGTTTGCTTACTCCAGCTTCTGAGGCGATCCTCACATATTTTAATCCTTCCAGTTATCGAGTCACCCCTTCCAGTCTCCCAACCTTCCTTTATTACCTGTTTACACTCCTCGTGATCCTGCCAATAGGCCTCAAACTTGAAGTAATGTCCCCATTTCACATCTTCCACCAGAATGTTTGTTTTGAGCATAATAGGGTTGTGATCTGATCCACAACGCCTTAGGTGGTAGACTCCAGCTTCAGGGTATAACTTTCTCCAAGCTTCATTTGCCACCATTCTATCCAACCTTTCCTCTAGAAAAGTATTGTCTTTGTGGTTATTATCCCAAGTATATGGCTTTCCATAGAACCCCAGATCCTCCAATTGGCAATCCGCCAGAGCCCTGTTGAAACCATCCATTTCATAACCTTTAGCAGGTTGCTTCCCATTCTTCTCAGCATAGTGTTGAATAAGGTTGAAATCACCACAGCACATCCATGGTAGATTGGTTTGATCTTTTAGGAATCTTAACAGCTCCCAAGTCAGGTGCTTCCTACTCGTTTCTGGCCAACCATATATGCCTGTTAGCCGCCATATATTTCCTTCATCATCAATCTTCATGTCAATGTAATTCTCTGCATAGCCTTTCACTTCTAGCTTCACATCCTCCTGCCATAATACCATTAATCCTCCTGCCCTCCTCATTGCGCCTACGCCAAAACCTTTGTAACCCTGGAATTGTTGTGCAACCACCTCCCACTCTTTCTCTTGTTTTTTGGTTTCCATAATGAAAACCACTCTGGGGTTTTCTCTCTGAATCAACCGATACAGCTTTTTAATTGCCAGGGAACTCCCCAAACCCCGGCAATTATAGCTTATATAACTCATTGGGCTGGGCG